GGGGGGGGGGGGGGGGGGGGGGGGGTCCAGGGGGTGTGTTATCTTGTGTCGTGTACGGTATGTCATGAATAGCTGCTGATCCATCTTTTGGGTAGACGGGCTTGTTGATCCCAATGGTACTTGCTCTACGGCGTCACAGAAATTGGCAACATGAGCACGTCTGCAATGACCGTTCACATAGGAGTATTGACATGAGTGCCTTGTATCTCGTACGGCCCTCACGATACGTATGTGCCGCGCTTGACGCATCGCGCCCGATGGAAGGGTGTGTTTGTTTCTACTCGAAGCCGTAGCCGTTGCTCCTCTATCTGCGTTTCCCCGAGTCTCTACCACTCACTCCCACAACCCGCCACACCCACTTGCACTCGCTCACGTTCCAACCATTGAGCAATCGACCACACATACAGTCATCCCCGCTTAAAAGACACCATTTTTTAAGACACTCCCCGCTTTGAGGACACAAAAAATCTCGGAAACATGGTGCCCCGCAGATGTGAAAAAGTAGGGGGGGTAGGGTTTTCTACCATTCGACCCCCCCCAGAAAATGTGTTGCAGCACCTGTAGTTCGCTCTCGTCTCGAAGATTTCCGCTCTTACTTGTACACACATGGAAGAGACGGCGAGTACAGCGAAACGGCGTACCTTCTTTCGAAGACTGTGCATTCTTGTACTCATGAAACTCAGGTCAAGCGAAGAGCAAAGGAGGGGGGGGAGGTGCNTACCATTCGACCCCCCCCAGAAAATGTGTTGCAGCACCTGTAGTTCGCTCTCGTCTCGAAGATTTCCGCTCTTACTTGTACACACATGGAAGAGACGGCGAGTACAGCGAAACGGCGTACCTTCTTTCGAAGACTGTGCATTCTTGTACTCATGAAACTCAGGTCAAGCGAAGAGCAAAGGAGGGGGGGGAGGTGCAGGCGACTCTTCGGGATATGTTGCGGGTGTAGTTTTTGGTTTCGAGAGCAAAGCACTTTCATTGCCAACGTTCGTTTTTTGCCTTGGGTGAAGTCTCGCGAGGTTGAGTTTGGCGTTTGTGTTGTGTTGTGCCTCGTTTTGACCTTTTGGGAGGCGCGGTGTCGTCTTTGTCGCTGTGCTTTCCCGACATTTTTGGTCTCTGTGTTTCTGCGTAACCTACATTTTCCTAGTGTCGTTTTACAACCTTCGATATTTCTCAGGTGCGGTAGCGAGATCTTGGGCAAGATATTCACGGGGAGGACAACGCCTAAAAAATAAAATAAAGCAAATAATTAAGCCCATATCAACACNTTCTGCGTAACCTACATTTTCCTAGTGTCGTTGTACAACCTTCGATATTTCTCAGGTGCGGTAGCGAGATCTTGGGCAAGATATTCACGGGGAGGACAACGCCTAAAAAATGAAAAGAGGCAAATAATTAAGCCCATATCAACACCAGCGCACTACGGTCGTGTACATGTACGATGCGTAGGTCGTAGAACACCATCGCTTTCAGCGTTTTGGTGGTACAGTGCGGGGAAATTCAAACGATGGTATTCAAGTATGTATTGCAGCACAATAGCAGCAGAGGTTGCGACCTTCAAATCACCTTGTGTCGTAGGTTTCAAACAACACCTCTTGTGGTCGCCTTTCTGCTGCGAATGCGCACCTTTTGACGTATGTTTCGCCTTCATTGGCCCCGGGGATGGTGCGTTTGTGGCCCCGAAATTTTAAAGACACTTCCCCGCGTTAAAGACACTTTTTTGGGGGAAATAGTGGTGTGTCTTTAAAGCGGGGTCGACTGTACCCTCTTCTCTGTTGCCACACCTCATGCTCCCGCCAATGTACACCCCGCCAGGTAGCCGAGTTCATTGACTCGAGCTTCGTCATGTGGGTCCCTGGGGGGAAGAGCTCCGCGCAGCGCGTGGCGGCTTCGGCGGCGGCGGCTAAGCGCGTAGGCGCGCGGTCCCTGCCCTTCCTCGGGGTGGTGAACAGCGCTTCGGAAACCGACAAGATGACCCTGGAGAGGAAGCTCGAGCGGTCGACGGTGGCGATGCACCACTGCAACCCCCCGCCCTCGGCGAGCCAGGTACGGCGTAAGTTCTGCCGGCGGCATGTCCGTAAAGTCGAGTGACAGCTTGTTTTTTTTTGTGCGTGATGGAACGCTCATGTGAAACGGCAAGAGGAGGTTGCTGGATGCCCTGGTCCCATGGGGTGAAAGATAATGAGGCACTGTCAGGCTCCGGGGGGGGAATGCTTATATTTCTCGTGCTGCGTGTTGGTCTCACTTTGTACACTGGATTGGTCCGCTAGGACATACGAAGGACAGCAGACGATGTACTCATTTGAACTTCATGCAGACGACGTTCTATTCAGGTGCGCAGGCTTGACCAGTGCTAAATCACCATCCCCTTGGCAACACAGTAGACGTGTCTTGCAGTAGACGTGTGTCATACCTTGCTGCTATCCACGTACTGTGCGTATTAGATCGAGTTCAGCTCGCCAAGCTTGAAGCACGAAGGTTGAGATGCCTTTTGTTCGCCTGTTTTTTCTTTAGTACTCGAGGCATTTTCTATTCGTTGGAGACAAGAAACAAATCAATTATTGCCACTAACGGCTTTCGCGCACCAGTGTCTCTGCCATCACTCTTGTTTGTTTATTATTTTTTTCAGATGGTGAGCTGGATGGCTCGCGTACTGGAGCTCAAGAAGAACCTGCTAGAAGTCGAGCTCGCGGAGCAACAGTAAGTCGCAAAAGTCTTCCGTCCTCCGTCCAAACATTGTCGATATTGTGCGCCTTTGTTGAGTCGCTGAACAGCAGCACGTTTTGCGCACGCCCCCGCCCCCCCGTGCGCGATACCCTCTGAAGTACCGAGGTACACCGTGGTTACCTCTACCCATGGCATATAAAGTCTGTGATCCCCCGATGGCCATTTCGTATCAACCCCCCGCGCCCCGCTTCATTTCCGCTCACTCGCCACGGGTATCCGAACCTCAACCAAAACGTGAAAACGCATGGGACATCAGACGATTAAAAGACGAAGACACCATTTACACGGAGCGAGTGGAAGGGTACTCCAAGTCTCTCAAGGACGACGCTCTGCGGGAGGTGAGGGAGAGGGAGGAGGAGGCCGAACGGGCAAGGCTGGCGGAGGAGGAGAGGCTGGCGCAAGAGGTCCTTGAGGCGAAGCAACGGGAGGACGTGGAACGGTGCGTACAGTGACGAGTTTTTGCCACTATAAGTGGAAGAGATGAGGAGGGAGAAAACGTTCGGGGTTGGGCGTCCGTGGGCTCGAGGGGTACTTGTTTAGCTTCCCAAGTCTTTGGACGCACTGCTGCTCAAGTACCACTCGGCGTGGGGTGGTTCAGTGATATCGCCGCGGAGCAGACGCATTCACAAACTCTCACCACCCATGCAATCGCGAAAACCTGCTTGACGGTGCCACCAAGGAGGGTCGCACAGGCCACAATCCCTTCACAGCAGTAGTCGACCTAGCCCCGAGGGCTCAGCTAGGTGCCACGCCGCCCTTGTTCCCCTGAACCTCGAGAACTTCCACCACTGGCATCAGTGTCTCTCCCCTGCCTACCCATGACACTCTTTGACTTCGTTTTTTTTTGCTATGAATACTGTGCTGGTTGTGCTGCCGGACACCCAAATTGCCCAGACGAGAAAAGAAGGCGGCGGAGCTGGGGCAAGAGCCGCCAGAGTCGGCCGTGAAGGGGGCTGAGGCCAAGGCGGCGACGCTCATGCTGCGGCTCGCGGACGGCTCGCGGATCCGGCGACGGTTCCTGAGGTCGGACCCCATGGGGAAGGTGCTCGACTGGGCGGACGTGCAGGGGGTGGACCTAGACGCGCAGAGGTTATCCTCTACAATGCCAAAGGTGAGGGCGAGAGACATGCTGCTTTAGCGCTGATGCCACGTTCAGGGAGTTCGTCGTACAAGTCCTTATTATCGTTGATGCTGCTGTGAGCGTTGTGCGCTTGCAGCCGACCCGTTGTGTCATCAAGGTAATCAGCTGGCGTGCGGTGTGGCATCGTCTGGGGTAACTTTTCTTGTTGAGGGCGCGCGATTGCCTAGGAATGCCAAAAGCCGCCCAGCCGTCTCTACGCGTAATGCTCGGAAACATGCCGACGGGATCGAACGACGGGTTTCAATGCAACATTTCGGGTTGTGCGTGTACATGAAGATCACTGCTCGTTCAGAATTTGTGTCCTGGACACGAATCTCAACAAGGATGCATGAACCTGCTCCACGCCGCCCGGCACCCGCTGGACTGGCTGCAAATAGTAAACAGATACAATAACGGCGGTGGGGGTACCCACCGTGCTCTCTTGTCCGGGTCCACTTCCACAAGAGTGCAAATTTGCGGGTTCATCCCAGTTGCTGCGCTGATGTGGCCGATTTTCAGACCTGTGCACGTGTATGCGAGTTTTTGTGTGCTTCGTTGATCACGTGGAATATTGCTCACTCGTTATCGGTGGCCAGGCGTCTTTCTCTCACCCCGGTGACTCGGGAATGACGATCGAGGAAGCCGGCCTAGGAAGGCAAGCGCTGTTGTTCGTGGAGCAGAAACCTAAGGGGGCCACGGGCGATTCCGATGGGACTGTGGATGAGGCGGAAGCAGCAGCAGCAGCTGGCGACGAGGGCACAGAGCGAGAATTATAGCCACTTTTTTTAGGAGTTAGGATTGACAAGCAGCAGGCGTTATTTACAACGGGAAAGATTCGTCGCCACCATTTTGCGGGATCTAAAAATGAATTCTTGGTTTGAGTATTTCCTATCTCAAGGAGACTTTTTTCGCCGTCTCCGTCCCTGATACGAGAGGACACTCGCATCTAGGCCTCGTGTGGTCGTAACAGACAACGCATGCTTGTTGCCGCGGGCGTCTTGGCCATTGTGTCGTTTTCCACTGGCCGGCATCGTGCAGAGCGGAAGACTTCGCTTGCCTGGAATGTCTGAAGCAGCCGGGTTTTGCGTAGTGGGATGGGTTCTTGATAGGGCGGGCGTTGCGCGTTTCACAGGGAAAACATCGGACATTCAAGGCTGTAGTACGCGCATCGCGGCTGTAGAAAAATTCGTTTGCGATCCGCGCTGTGAAACGACATGTGTCAAGGCTTGCCGGGAGAATACGCTTGATCCTGCACCCGCTACATTCGCGATTTTTCTGAGCTTCTTGGGTTTTTCGCCGCGCAAGGGAGAACTGGCCGCCCTGCTGGGTCAATGAAAAAACATCTCGAAACGATCTTTTCATCTATGCGTGAACGACTTCTTTAGGTGGATTGATCACGGACGGTATGCAACCAATGTGCCATTCGCCGCTCCATTCCCCAATCCCAGCAGTCGTCATAATCCCCTGCCCACCACGGCTGGATACCAACCAGTACAAACAACGGTGACAGGGCGGCGGAACGTGTACGTTGTTATTTTGTTCGATGAATCGTGATGACGCGGCTGGTTTTCCCATCAATGGGTGTGTTCGAGGTAACCTTCGTCTCGATACTTCGCGATGGGCTCGCTTGGTGCACGGGCCATTGTGCAAGCCCCCACTAGAAAAACTAACCGGTTCGTCGGATATGCAGAGATCGCCCATCAAGACCGCCGAAATGGAGCCCAAACGAAATTTGCGTACGTACAAAAAGGCCCCCCGGCTTCTCTTCAATCATTGGCACCAACGGGTAATCTCTATCGCGCGTTGTTATCCCGTCGAAGGTCACCACACCGAACGCCACTCCACTTCTGGAGGGGCCCTTCTGATTGCACGATTGAGGGTGGCTTCTTCAAAAGCGAAAGAGCGACCACGCACACAATTGCAACGCTTTCCTTCTCATTCCTCATCCGAGTCCGAATCCGAGTCTTCCTCGTCATCTCCGTGATCCACCCGCAGCTGCATCATAGCCGCCCTGTTGTTGTTCACGAACAAATCGCTCATGTCATCCTCCTCCTCCTCCTCCTCCTCTTCTTCACCACGCCCTGCCCCGCTCGTGACCTCTCCTGCCCCATCCCCGCCCACCTTGACACCGGAACCGGCTTCCTTTATTGCAGTCGCTGCCGCTGCCGCGACCTCCCCCCCCCCACTGACTTTTTCTTCTATCGCGGCGGCACCCATTCCTTTACCACTACCGCTAGCGCTGCTCCCACCACCGTCGGCAACCGCGTCCCCCCAGCCCTCTCTAGGGCCGCTCGACCCCGCCCCTGCAGCAAGCAGAGCCCCGCCGAAAGCATCGTCCGCCGGCCAGAGCTCTCGTTTCTTGAGGTGCTTTATTTGGTCCTTGTTGAGGATGTGTTCCACGCGATGTCTTACCTGCCGCAATTGGTGTGGACGGAAGCAGCAGCGGCGTAAAAAGCAGTCGGGCAACGCGAGCCAAAGGATGGCATACGGTGCCAAGTAGAGCGCAGACGGTACAAGCACAGTTTTGATTCGCATCCTTCTTTCGCAGGGTATTGACTCGGGTAACACTGTTTTGTATATTTCGGGGGGTGTTAACTCTAGACACATTCGGGCGAGGTGTCTATGTTCGTGAAGCAAACCGTGAAAACAGGTGTCGCTGTTGCTAGTAACCAGCGCTCTCAAGTCCTGCACTCGGTTGGTGGTCGCCCGTATTCTACCACGGACTCTCCGTTGGAAGGCACAAGGGGTGTCCGTTTGACACCATCAACTCGGGGCAAAATTACACAAACAAACCCGTCGACGAGGACCAACGCCGCCGCCTATTGCCATACCATACACATACAACGCTGCTTCACGCTAACACCAAACAACTTGTTCATGCCTGAAAACACCGCAACAACAACCCTTGAGCAGTCACTCTTGACGCAAGTAGCAGAAACGGGGCAGGTGAGGGAGGCAGGGGGTGATAGCACTCACTTTCCCCGTCTCCCCTGCGCTTGTTTCGAAGTCCCCCGCCGAGGTGGAAGTGATGAGGTAGTCCCCACGCTTCACCCAGATCAGCTTGCGGAATCTCGTGGGGAGGAGCGCCAGCGATGGTTCTCCGTTGGCCAGCATGATCTGACAGGTCGTTGGCCCGGCCGGAGGGGAGCGGGGGCGGGAGGCGATGATGTCACACGTATTTCTGGGCCACTGAAGGCAAGGTAAGTCAACACAACGCTGCCAACGCCATGCACTAGACAAAACAAGTGCAACTGCTGTAGTGCAATGCTCTGTTTCGCATGTAACGTACATTGGCGGGGCTTTTCCCTTTGACATAGAACAATCGGCGGTGTTCAGAAGGGGGCCAATGGTGGGAACAGCTTCCCATGCTACTGTCGTCAAGAATATTGTACCACACCTGCCCGCCAACTTCTCTCCTTCGTAGATACAGCAAATTCGCGTCATGTTCAGAATATTAATATATTGCCCACGATGTACCGACGTACGTATACTGCTATTATACAAAGGTACCTCGGAGTTGAGAAACTCAGCCCCCCCCCCCCCNNCCCCCCCCCCCCAACAAAAGTAAGAACGTGGCCGTAGTACTGTAGTCGGCGTTCAGGCAACAGCCCTATGTAAAACCTAGTGCGATAGCCCGTCTTGGGTTACCCCGAAGAAGTAAAGAGAAACGAGCCGCGGCCTAAGTGAGAGGACAGCGCGTACCGCCGTCACCATGAACCATGACTCTACATACTGCTGAGGGCCAGGTCATGGGTTCGAATCCCGACAAATTTAGAGTGAGTTTTTCTCGCTACTCAAATCCTGGTCTCCGTTGGAAGCGACGCGCTGCAAAGCTCGTTGTGAGTAAACTTGATCGACATCATAAGTCGCGAGGGAAGGGATTGCTGTACCCTTCTCCTGATAAAAATATCTCAGGCAGGAACCGCAGGAGGGGGTCCAACCCCCCCCTCCTATGTGACCTCGGTTGGGTCGTCTAGCTGGTAGAACTGGAGGATAGGGGCCAGAGGGGAAGACGACAGAGTCCAATGATTGGAGGAAAAAATAAAAAAATACACGCATATCTGAGGCACAAGCATGGTTCATATCATAAGAAGCAACCAACCTCGATAATATTGGAGCCTCGGGGAGCTTGCGCCAGCGCGATCTCCTCGTTCTCGCCCGGCTCGGGCGTGCTGTTGAGATAGTCGTCCGTGACCGATTTGCGGTAGAGCGTCCTTCGTCCGACCCCCGCCATACCGCCGAACCGTTCTGAATCCGATCACCAGCTGTCGGCGTGCGGAACGCTTCGAAGCACCGTCGTGGTTGCTGCGAGCGGAGCGCTCTGAGTGGCTGAGTCCGTAAGAGCCGAATAGACTCAACCGTACGAGAAGTTTCTTGCGCGAGATAAGCCGGTCCGGAGCTGGTGAGTGCCACTGACGCGTTTCCTATGCCTCTTGTGTGTCGACAAGGGGCATACCGCACGAACACAAAGCGTCAACGTGAACAGCAGGGGCGTGGCAGCTTGAGAATGTACCATTCACATTTTCGCGAATGTCTCAAGGATAGTAATTTTTAGGAGTTTTTTCCGCGCGCGAAGCGCGCGTGCGAAAAAAAAAACGAAGCGATAGCGGAGCTTTTTGTTTCGCAAAAAACTGTATTAGATGGGTCCTTTTTGTTTCCCCGCCTGGGTTCTGCGCACGTTGAATAACACCGCCTGTCAGCCCGACCCCTGAATTAATTACTGTTCTCAAATTGATGTCCGTGTGTGTGTGTGTTCGCACCACCTTTGCACCGATAAACAAGCCGATTGAGGATCGTTTTCGGTGCGGAAAAGTGCACAAGCTGTAGCGTAACAAGGCCATCATTCCGCACCCAAGCGTTTCTCATTTCGTGCCCGCGTCGCTGTGTTCGGTGCCGATATGTACTCTATTCACAATCCGTTTCATCGATAACTGCGCCAATTGGCGACGTTCTGCAAAAAAAACGAGTGCCCAAGCCTACTCCTAATAGGTGAACACTTCTCGCGTCGTTGTTTCCTTGCACCAACCCCTAAGTTACTCGTTCACACCCGGTTTGTCCTCTCTTTGCGGCGTCCTTCAACTGTCATTTGGGACACGTGTGTGTCGGTTTGGTTCTGCTGCTACGTGTGTGTCGGTTTGGTTCTGCTGCTGCTGCTATGTTCTTTTTTTGACCTCGTCCACACCGAGTGGCCAACTTTGGCACGTGTTCAGACCAGCTACCACGCATCTCCTCCTCTACAGCTCGCAGCTTTCACTATCTGCATATCACAGAGGGTGTTCGCGTGTGGTTTGCAGACCACGACAGGGCGTAGTGAGGAGGGGCTCGCGATCGGCGACAACTCGCGTGCTAGTTCAAATATTCTGCTGCTGCTGTGTTCTGAGTGGTGGGGCCTTTTTTTCTACTTAACGCATACGGAGTGCTGACAACAACGATTCGCATCAACAACATTTCGGGTGTGTGTACCAAACCAAAAGCAACACCTATTCACGGGGGGCGCACGACCAAGCCTACTGCAGGTACTTTCCGCAGCACGGGTTATGCTGTTGTGATGGTGCGCGCGGAAAAAACTCCCCCACTCGGGGTCTAGTATTCCAATTGTTCCCTGTGGTTTGTCGCATGTTCAACTGGTTGCAGGTCGGACGATGTGTGTGTGCGCACGGCGTTCGTCTGATGGTGCTCTGACATACAGCAGCAGCAGCCGTTGCTGTTCATAGAGCCAGCAGACGACCGTCTGCTTGGTGTGAGATCATGTTTCCACCAACAAACGCTGTACATATCGCCTGGATCGTTGAGCGTACCATTGCGACGAGAAGCAGCAAGATAATATGCAAATGGCCTGAGAAAGACGCACGAGAACTCTGTCCCGCAACCAAGATGCTGTTCCCCCCCAGCTCTACTTCTTGGCAGTACTAACTCTACACCCCACGCGTCGCGAGTGCTGCCCCTCTTTACGGGACTTGAACAACAAGCTTGAGACTGCCGCTCTCAGTATAACATCTCACCGACACTGAAAGATGATGATCGTTTTGCTCGAGACGATGTAGAGGCGAAGGCCGTTCAACTCAGGGAGCTAGTCAAGCGTGTGCGCGACCCCCAAACCAACCCATGGCCGAGGCGGCACCGCACCGCTGGGACGGGGCTTATTGAAGATGGTACCCCGTCAGTTGTCTGAGCTACACCCGAGTCTACGGAACCCCTCTTGCTGGCTGTGACTACAGCAGTTGTTGAGCTACAAGGGTCCGCTGTACCCACACAGACGCCCTCTCCCCACCAGTGCTGTGGTGCACCACGCTGAAGAGCACAACGCCGAGGCAACCACATTCAATCTTGAGTCCGTACTACTGGCCCCATCTCCCTTAGAAGGTTGGCGTTGTGCCCCTTTTACTCGCCAACATGACCATGATTCGCGGCTTGGTTGGCCTGTCCTTCATCTGCACCGCAGCAGGCTTCGCCGGCCCCATCTCCACACGATTGCGTGCCACCGGGAGCAGCAGTAGCAGCACCTCGTTCAAGTCGTCGGCAAGACAGCAAGGGCCACAGCTCATGAAAGGGTGGCGTTCTTCCAGCCAGCGCACAAGGACGTGCATGACAGCACAGCAAGAGGGAGATGCATCGGAGGCGGCCCCAGCTGCGCCGGCGCCCAGGCTGAAGAGGGTGCGGAGGCGACGGAAGGACGGCGGGGCTTCGGTAGCGGTAGCAGGAGAGGACGAGAGGAAGGCATCGACTTCTGTGGTTGAGGAGCAGGCACCACCGCCGGCATCACCTCCTGTTGCTGCTGCATCGCAGGTGGTCGCGCCGCCTCCGGCTGTGGTTGCCCCGCCGGCCGATCCTGTTGCCGCAGAGCAGTTACAGCAGCAACAACGGGCTGCTGCTGTTGAGGAGGAGGCCCCTCGTTCCGTCGGAGGGACTAAGGGGACAAAGGTAAGATGCCTTCATGCCTTGGACTGCTGCTGCTGCTGCCGCTGCCTGTGGGATGGGTAGCCCACCTCTCTCCCTCTGCTGTGGAACTGCATTCTGTTGATGAGTCGGGAGCTTGAACAAAATGTACTTCAACTTCATCATGCACTCAACTGCTACCTACACGTGCACGCACGGCCTTCACATTTCTGCAACAGCTCACGCTATTGTATAATTGTAAATGGCGTGCATTCTTCGGCCTAGGTGTGCTCGAAACCAGACTGTACACAATGTGCCCCGCTTGACAGCTGGGGTGCCTTGTATATTTTTTCTATGTATGCATGCGAAAAATGTGCGGCGTTGTGTAGACTACTAATCTACGTACCTGTTCGCCAGGCGTCGGTCCGTTCCCCCTGAATACTGAATTTTCCCCGCCGCGGTACACTTAATCCCCTTATTTGGATTGAGACGTCGTACAACCCACAACACGCGCGCAAGCAAAACTATTCCCGCCGACCTAACCCGTCGCACCTTTATCGTTAGTATTTACTATCCATTAAGAAAAACATCATATTCCGATCAATGTGTTGCAGGTGCGCGTGGTGGACAGCTCCGACGACGACATGTCCGAAAAGCTCGCGGGAGTCGCTTCTGCCGCCTCGGGGGCAGCTGGAGGCGCCGCCTCCGCCGTGAGCGGCGCCGCCAAGTCCGCGATAGGCGCTGCAATGTCGATGCTGGACCAAGGCGGCGCACCCGCGGAGTTCGACATCGACAGCATGCCGGCGCCGGGGAAGCGGGGCCAGGCGCAGCGGGCGGGGAAGCGAACGACCCCCGGCAAGACGGCGTCGGAGCTGGCGGACCTCGGCGCGGACATCGAGCGATTCCGCCAGGCGGAGAACCGGCAGCCGGAGACTGCGGGGGAGTCGATCGCCTCGGGCGCCAAGGACATCATCTCCACCATCATCAGTATCGACTTCTTCGTCGTGATCGCCTTCATGCTCTGGTTCATCGCCGGGGTCGTGTCCTCCTACGGCTTCAGCAACACCTTCCTGCTCGACCAGTTCAACGACAAGTGGACTCCGGTCGTGCAGCCAGCGCTCGGGGTGCTGATGGGAGGCACCATCGCCGGCGGGGTCGTGTCCAAGCTCGGGGGGTCGGGGGACGACGAGGACGACAACCGTCCATAGTGAACGGGTCCTACAGCAGTTGGGGGATGTGATGGAAGAGGGTCGAGGATTGGCATCTCTATTTTGCTCGACGTGGTTTGTTGGTCGAGCGGCAGTTTTCCAGGAGTTTTAGGCAGCGTGATGCAGAAAGTAGAATTTAACTGTTGTGCTTCTTGTTGCTCGACGGAACCGCGGCATTTGGTTCGCAAGAACCAGAGGCAACCCTAGACCGCTATGGTAGGTTTCGTTAGGTCGGGCCCTAACCTACTGACTGAATCGCACCTATGCCGAAGGCGGAATCGCTATCTGACACGTGCAGGCCGGCGTGGGGGGGGGTTATTTCAAATTTCACATCGACGGAAGCCCAAAATGAAATCGGTCTTTGACGTCTCGAACCAAAAATACTTAAAATTCTAGCTTTCCCAAATATTCCTTGGTTTGATTGCAAGTTGGGCCACGTGGTCCGTTCGCCCCACGCAACAGCTCACGTTTGCCCAGCGAGCTCGATTTTTCATGGCAGGGCGCTGAAATTCCGCTGTACTAGCTTGGTGTGCCGTGTGACGGCTTTTGCAGTTGGTGAAGGTGGCAGCGGATGGGTATGGTTCTCCCAGCCTCTTGAAGATGTATCTTCGAATATGGCGACATGTTACCTAGAAGTCATGGGCCTCGGGGATTGTTGTTCGGCTGGGCTCATGGTGCAGCAGCCATCGTCCAGCGCAAAAGGCCTGGCTTTATGCATCGAACGATAGGAAATGGGTCTCGGCGATGTGCTCTAGTCGCACAAATCTTAATCGCGCGGGGGATGGTGCGGTCTACGGCATGTGTCTCCCAACAAACATAACCCCCCCTGCGTGCTTGGTGGCTGTTCATACGGTATTGATTGGCCCAAGGACTCGGTGTGTTGGACTCTTGGAAACCGAAACCGAAAAATAAAAATTGGCCAATCAGCAAGCTGCGGGCATCTGCAGTTTTCAAGTACCTCTCAAGTGGTGCTGCTCGTGTCGTCGAATCGAGCGCCTCCGTGTTTTCCCTCTGAACAACAGCGTGCACTCTTCGCCAAAGCATGATATTGATGGACACGTTGAGGCTTAAGATGCTACCCCCCTCCCCCCCCCCACCAGCTATATTTTTTTTCACGCGCACTGCGTTCGTGAAAACGGTTGGCTTGGTAGTTGTCACGCTCATTTTCTTCTGATAAAGCGTTCACACCGGGAATTTGCGACCGCTCCTCGCGGCTGCTCAGGGGTCGCCCATAATGTTCCCTGTCCCCTCACCGTCTTGCGGTTGCATGTGTGTGAGGTCACCATTCGAGCAAACCAGGATACACAAGAAACATTGCAGAGCTGACCACTTACATCGCTTCTTCGACGACGTGTTATTTCGTTATTTCGCAATGTAGGCACACGTCTCTTGGGTCCTCGAGAACACTTCTGCGTGTCACAAATAGCTCCACCTTACATGCAGTTCCACTAAGATCATCGACCTTTCGGGTGCAAATCGAGGTAGGAGATTGCTACGTTGTCAGAGAATGCGTACAGAGCGGATCGTAAGGAACACGTGTACTTCCACATCAACTTGCACATGGGAACGTGACCAGGCGTCGGAATGATATCTTCGAAATACGTCCTGGCCTTCTATTCCAACACGTCGCCCGTGTGTGGCAACGCAAGCTCATCCACGAAAAACATCAAGCGAGAATCTGGGGAGCGTCGGCGGCAGCAGCCTATCAAAACATGTACCGGTACACCTTTCCCCATGATACTCTTCAAGGGTTTTCCAGTTATACACTAAATGTAGAGACCGTCACGGACGGACTGTGTCGCCACAGGCATACTTACAAACACAAAATCCCATTGTTCCCCCCCGCAGTCTTCAACCAAAAACGGGCTTAGCACGGCACAGAGGACAAGCGCTAGCCGTCTCGCCGGCAGCGGGAAAACAAAGCAAAATCATCCAACCGCGCCACGTTGCTGCGCAATTCCACCAAGTCAAACAATAAGATTGTCCTGCAAACTGTCAGTTGCAACTCCGTGGATAGACTGGCCGATCTTTGAAGCACGCGGGGACAGAGAGAGGTCTGGTCGTTTCCGTCTCCCGCGCTATCTACATAGCCGACAAGATCGTCAAGACAGCAGTCATCTACATAAACTTCTGCACACATACCAAAAGCGCCCTATCACTATCGCGGGGCTACAACCTCTCTGTATGGACATCGCATCGCATCGCGCACTGCTACTGCACGCGGAGGTAGTGAGACCAGGAGCTCGCGACCACCTTAGGTCTGCTGAGCGGCTTGATCACGCACACTCTTCCCCCGCCCACCTCTGCCGCAAGCCACTCGTTGCTATTTCTTCGGTTTGCCAGCGGCACGAACTCCGGCGGAGGTCCCGACTCGCCGCGGAAGCACGCCTCCTCCAGCATGAGATCCACGGATTCCGCGAGCGAGAGGAGCTCGAACCCGCCGATGACGCCCTGCGCGGGAACAGATGGAGGAAGGCGCGGGATGTCAGGGAAGATGCGAAGCAGAGGGGGTTGGGGCAGCAGGGGTGGCATGGGCAGCGACCAGCAGCGGCCAGATGCCTCAACATAAGGCTTATTGCTGCTGGGGAAATCTGTTTCCCTGTTACGGTTCATAGGCTTCGAAGATGCATCTCTTTGCAAGTCACCCTCTCAATGACGGATGTGGAGGGGTCGCGGGATCAACATTTTATTTTTGAACAGTGCTCTCGGGCAACCACACCCTGTCCAATGCCTCCACTCTTTTGTGCAGAATTGCTCTGTCCGAAACTAATGTAAAAAAAGAGTCATCCATACTAGGCCTTGTTACACAGCAAATTAAAGTGGCCTTAGCACATAACTTTACATGCATAGGCCTTCGATACGTTGACATCAAGACACGAAAAGGAACCGGTATCTATTGTACAGAAGTGATGCGCCAATATCAACAGCGAACAAGTCGCGACAACAAAGATACTCATAAGGCATACTGCTGCCGTGGACAGCAGACAAGACTTGACTTTGTGCGCAACTGGGCACCTCCGAGCGCAGCCAGCCAGAGCGCGCCTGGCCGTCGAAGAGGAGGAACGACGCCCGGGCTTCGTCCGGGAACAAGACGCCTGTCCGCTGCTCGGCGTTCATCGTGTCCGCCAGTGTCGCGCCGGGGTTAAACACGCTCGCCGGGGAACGCGCGAAACGGCGGAGGTCCTTTTCGCGAGAAGAGATAGAGAGAGAGAAAGAGATCGGGGAGGGGAGTAAGTCGGAGTTCACCGCCTAAATTAGAGGGCGAAGAACATGCCAGTGATGACATTTGTTGCCGGTGCGATACCTGGCCCGCCGTGTTGAAGACAGCGGCGACTGGTGTGCAAAGATGTGCTCCATTCGATGTTCCACGTATTTTGGCGCGCGTGTGTTTACCACCACGGATCATCGCCACACCTCGGCAGAACCAGGCTTGCGCCACGATGGCACCATGTCTTGGCCTTATGGGACACTGCGTGCGGACGATCTGCTGGCGGACAAATATTGCATGCACTTCTTCAGACCTCTGCATACAAGACCAAAAAAGCACAGCAATTCCACAGCAAACTCGTATGAAAACATGAGCACTAGGAGGTGTATTTGCTACCGCACCTGGAACGCTCTAGAGACGCGATGCAGCGCGCGCCGCTGGCGCACGTAGACCGCCTTCCCTTTCCCGTCTCCCACCCGTTTGTCCGTCCAGCACCGGGAGGATGCAACCGCTACTCGTCCCGCTCTGCAGGCCTGTTCCACCTCGAGCCAACTTTCCGGTGCAAGGTACCCCAAGAGCAAGTTGGCGGGATCTCTGTTGATTCTGAGGAAGGAAGCGGCCGGAGAAGCGGCCTCGGAAGGGGCGAGCGCGGGTAGGGTGAGCTTCAGCGTTGTTGTCGGTGTGCACTCCCCTCCTGGCAGAGCCGTCTCGATGTTCAACCTCCTGCCGTCGCGAGCTTGAACCTCCAGGACGACTCGTCTTTCTCCCATTGCAGCAGCAATTCCTCGACCCAAAGGATTGTCAATGTCGGCGTCAGAATGTGTGAAGTATCTCCTCTCAAGGATGTACGTCTTGCGCGTTCCAGAGACAAGCCACACAGCCGACTTCCGACAGGAGGAACCACACGATGTGAACGCACTAGCGGATGCGCTCGAGTTGCGGAGCCCGACAGCTAGTATTTTGGTAATATTCACATACCTGTGCTTACTCCATGCCGCGATGCCCCGGAGAGCAGAGATTTGCATAGGATAAGCAATACAGAATAGGGCAACACAGGAGATTCATCCCTTTGCTTCGTCGTGGGTTGGGTTGTTAGGTCCCTCCCTGTCACGCCTACCGTTCGCTCGCGTTTGGAGACTTTCGTTTTGCTCGTGCACTACGCTGTTTTGCAGGTGTGCTTGCGTTTTTATCCGCGGAGAGAGAGTTGTTCTCTACACAACCAACCCCTGGTCTTGGGGCCCCATGGAGGAGTCCTCGGTGTCCATCGACGAGTTGTCGTCGCTAACCGTGCCCAAGCTCAAGGCAGAGCTTACGAGGCTGAACCAGCCTGTCGGAGGGCTCAAGAGGAAGGCTCAGCTAGTCGAAGCGCTGACCGTGAGTGCCGCAAACTAGTTGGAACCTCGCGGATCCGTCAGTTTTTTTGCCCTGTTTTGCCCAGCGTTGTTTTAATGTCAAGACAACAACAACAACGCGCGGCGGGGCTGCTCGCCGCACACGCCTGTACAGCTGCCAGCGCACACTCCAGGGCGAAAGTGGGGCGGATCCTTCGCTTGGGTTGGCACCAAGTACCAGAAGGGATCATTCCTGTTATTTTAGGCTAGATTGCAGTGTCTACCGTTTTCAAGAGGGCGATTGCAATGGATTTGCAGAGTTCGACGAAGACTACACTTGCATCACAAACTCCATAGACTAGTAGCACTATAATTTCGCGGAGCTCCCGCTCCCGATCATGTGCGATCTCGCCGAGGAGTCTCGATTGTTGCATGATTGCGCGTGGATGCTCTTGGACCGAAAGGAAGTGCGGAAGGCGTGCATGGTGGAGGATGCCTCGACCCCTCGGCCACAAGCAATCCTCTGATGCTGAAACAACAACAATCGTTTTTTGAGTCGCTCGCTTTGCATGCCTACCGGTTCTTGAGGCGCACCCAACCTGGTCGGTGTGGTTCGTTTCAATCCAACCGACATTTTTCCCATTTCATCGTCGGCTGGAGACAGCAAAGGAGTGCGCACCTCAGCTCTCTTCTTGGTGTCCGATTTTTGCCACACCCAACCATCGCCCAGGCATACATGGAGAAACAGCAACAAGACGGGGGCACGGAAGGAGTTGGACAGGAAAAAGAAGCCGACGCCCCCGCTGCTGGCGAAACCTCCCCACCCCCCGCGGCGGCGGCGGCGGCGGTGCAGCCGGATGAGAAAGACGCAGCCGAGGAGGACCCGCAGACTGAGCCACCCGTCCAAGAGGAGCCGGTCGCTGCGGACGAGGAGGTGGCGCCAATGGATGTCGCGGCAGACAACGGCACAGCAGAAGCGGACACACCATCGGCGCAGCAGGAAAAACCGGCGGTAGTGGCGGGAGCTGATAACGGTGGCAGCAGCGCCACGGCGGCGGACGAATCTGCGCAGAAAGAGGAAGACCCAGTGGCGACCGGTGCCCAAGTAGCTGAGCCAGCCGCGGCGGACGCATCCACGGCTGAGACTCCCACCCGCAAGGGGCGAAAGCGCATCGCTCGTACGGACGACACCGAAGCAGCTCCGGCCGAGCAGCCCAAAGCTTCCGGTGGCGGCGACGAAGAGGAAAAAGCCGGGGACAAGGCCGAGGAACAGTTGCCCAAGCGTAAGCAGTCCTTGCCAGCGTCGCCGGCTGCGAAGCGAAAGAAGGTTTCGGGCGGAGATGTTGCTGCTGCTGCTGCTGCTGCTGCGGAACCGGCTGCTGCGGTTGAGGCCAAGAGCACTGCCTCGGCGGCACCGGAAGAGACTGCGCTGCCGGAGCAGGAGGAGAAGGAGCAGGAGACACAGGGGAACGGTAACGGCAGCGCCAAGGCGGAGGAGGAAACGGCGACGCTCGCGGCCGACCCGATGGACGAGGAGGAACAAGCAGCGCCTTCTTCCGTGCGTGGGGGCGCTGACGCTTCTGTTCCCGAGACTGCCCGCACCACCGCCGCCGCTGAAACTGCCGGCGATCAGTCGGCTCCCGGTGACGGAGTGGAGGGTGAGGGAGACGCGGTGGTGGCGGATCCGGTGACGATTCGGGTGGATAACTTCGTGCGCCCGTTCACCGCCCAGCAGGCGAAGAAGGTGGGTGGTGCGTTCGAGCACATGCGGTGGGAATCGATTTTGTGCGTTGGGCTGCTTCCCAGTTTTGCATGCATGCCTCGATCAGGGCCAATTTCCGCCACAATGAAAAGAGGGACGGTTTTGAACTCGGATCAGGGAAGCGTACACGCATTGCCTGCCCGAGAGCCTCGGTGAGCAGACATGGCCATGGGCGTCGGCATGCATTGACTCCCACGGAGACCTTAGAGCGGCGGCGATGTTGGTCAATGCCCTCCTTGGCTCTGCCTGGCCACCCCCGTTGTAACTTGTTTTTCGGTACTTTGTGAGGTGAAGGCTTGAACGCCGCTTTTTGATGTTGGCATGATTCTTGACCAGCCGAACGGATAGTTCCGCGAGAACCACCGACAAAATCCCTTGTTTTTGCGCAGGAAGTTGCATCAGGCAGGAAAACAAGGCAACCACTCGTGGACTGGTGCATGGTGGAACTGTGGTGTGTGTTCTGTGTCCTGAAAATAAGTTATCCTCATGATGTCGTTTTGTGAACTTGTTGAACGGCATGTGTATGTTGGTGTTCAAGCGACATCATTTGTTGAACTCATGTTTTCCGAAGTTGATCCCCCTCCATAAGTGTACATGTACGCGAATACAATCCATGTATGACTGCAGGTAACGCGAGTACCGAAGACGACCCCACCTATCCCTCTCCCGTTTTCTTTTGCTGTGCCTCCTGCTTGGTGTTCGTGGATACCCCAACTCCCAAACCACAACAGCTGCTGGAAGAGAAGGCCGAAGCACCCGTCTTGGAAGGTGGGTTCTGGATGGACAGCATTAAGACGCACTGCTACGCCACGTTCGACGGCAAGGAGGCGGCCGAGAGAGCGATGGCGGCGCTGCAGGGCTTGCAGTGGCCCGCCCAGAGCTTCAAGCGGCTTGAGGCGACGATGGGAGACATGTCGGCGGAGGAGGTGGGTGTCGGCGTGTTGCCTCGTGGGCGTTTTTTTGTTGGTGACGAGTTTCGGTCACGGCCTTCAACATGCAACGGTTGAACAGGATCTAGTTCCGTCCAGGCCGCAGACAACAATCCTGAGGCGAAATACCTCGGTGTGACAGGCGGGGTATCTAACTGTACACCCCTCATTGTTTATCCTCGGGTCGCCGATACCCTGACGTATCTGTGGAGGCTATCGGAAATCGGCGGGGTAAGGCCTCAATCCGACCGTTGTCTTTGAGCAATAGGATCAGGACTAAGCCGCCGTCCTCTTCGTTCGTCGATATCCATACAGCCACCGTGTCCCCTGACTGCTTTCTTTCGCGAGCTGCTGCTGATGCTGCCGATGCTGCCATGGAGAATATTGTATTGCTAACTTCTAGAAATTACATGAAAGGAAAGAGTGTGTAGTGGATTGATAACACGAAACGGAGGTGTTCAGCAGTCTATATTCCCGGGTTCCTCTAGTAGCTCTATCCATAACCGTTAGCCCTCCTTAAAACCAGCTCACCGCCCGTCGCCTCCGTCGCCTTGTCTCCTTCTTCTGAACTTGCGGCCATCTACGCCTCTCTGTCTGTCTTTCTGTCTGTATCTGTCTGTCTCTGTCTCATACCTCTCTCTGCTGTGCCTCTCTTTCTATATATATGTATATATCTCCTACCCGATCTGGCCAAAAACGAAAACCGGAACGCGGGCCGCTTGCATCAACCAATAAACAGGCGAGAGCTCGGGATGGGTCCAAGCGCTCCAACCGTCCTTTCCCCGGCATGGACCGTCCCGCCCGCGTCCTGGGACCCCGCGTCACCACCACCGCGGAAGCGAAGAGCTCGCCGGAAGGCGGCGGCCAGGCTAATGGCAGCGGCGCCCACATCACTGGCGAGTCAGCGGCGGTGCCCGGCGGCGGCACTGCTCGCGTTCGGGGGAGGGGATCGGTGCAGGCCCCGGGCGTTGCTGGGTCTAGGAGAGGCGTGTTAGCCGCGAACGTGGAGGCCGAGGTCGGGAGGAGCAGGGGGCAGGACCGAGGGGGGCTCCAGCAGCCGCAGCAAGGGCCGGAAGAAGAGGCCGAGCCGATCATTCTGGACGACATGTTCAGGAAGACCGGCGCTAAGCCTTCGCTCTACTGGCTGCCGCTCTCGGAGGAAGAGGTGAGAGAGAGTCGGGGGGAAGGGGGGCGTTGGGGGAGACGAGGAAGCAGGTTCCGATGCTGTCGTTGAAGAGATGGTGGGCTCGGAAAGAGAGGGGTGCGGAATGGCGAAGGTACTTGGGACCGATCTGCGGCCTGTGCTTTTATTCCGGATGCCTTGGTGTGTTGGTTGTATTGTGATAGCCTTGCCTCTTTTCTGTTGGCTGGACAACCGCATGCCACTGGCGTACGCCAAAGGCATGCTGTCTACTACCTGCGCAGGCCGGGAGCGCGCACGGCATGTGCTATGCTGTACGCACTCTGGGCGAGAAAATCGCGTAGCGCATGCCCCCGGCGTTCACGAGTTTTCTGTGTTGCTGGAAACAAGAGAACCACTATTTTTGCACCACCGCCAATCCCCCCGCAATAGGTGGGTCTGCGGAAAAAGAAGATGGAGGAGGAGGGCGTGGGCCCCCGAACAACCCCCATGCCCGCCGAGCACATCGAAGCTGCCGTCAAAGGAGGAGGAGGCGGAGGACGGGGAAGCGGCGGCGGCGGAGGTTGGGGAAGGGGCAGGAGGGGGTTCGGGGGTGGCGGCTCCGGTCCTTCGCGCGGCCTTGGGGGGTACGGTGACGGTGGAGGGGTGGGGTACTACGGGCGAGCCGGGGGCGGGGGGAGGCGCAGATAGGCTTTTTCACTAGGCATGGTATGATCGCCATAGCGATGGTGCGTCGCGATGGAAGTTCTTGGAGGCCTCAAGGAAATATTTGTAGGGAAATATGAAGACTACTCTGCTGATGAAGTGCCAATCTACAACCCATACATGGAGGCCCTGATTGCGCGATGCGGTAGCTTTTGAACGCGGCGCTCTTTTCCTCCCTTGTAACGTTGAGCCAGGGAGGACGAACGGGTGTGTGCTTCCGTGTGAGGTGTGCGTGGGCAGTAATTCAAGAATAACTTGCTGCCGATCTTGCTCGTGTTCCTAGCTGCTATGGAATTTTCAAGTCTTATCTCCTGCTGCGAAACGTGTCAAGCTTTATGCACATAAAAGCCGGAGGGCGCGGGGCGAACAGTGACCGGCATGGAAGGGCTCCTGCAACATCGGTGGTGGTGGGATCAACACAGCACTTCTGAGAAGTTATAGGGATGCTCGGGGAGTGTGTGCCCGTAGCGTTGCTGAAATTTTCTCTCCGGCGGTACTGCACGTTTGCGTGAGGTGTGCTTACTATTGTTGGAGCTACTGCTTATGAGGAGACTCTGCGTTACTAACGTGGTGCAGGGCGGATGTTGTTAGCTTAGCGGAACGGGCAGAGATCATGTTGAGACTACTTCAGCCCAACTTTGGTCAAGAGATGGTTGGTTTTGAGGAAGGGGCGCACGACGATGTTTGATGACGTCGTTGGCGTTGGTTCGGGGGCTATTGGGGGTCAAGCCAGCAGCAGATCAATTGGCCACGATAAAGACGTTACCGATTGGACAAGAAGGTTGTGTCGTAATTAGATCAGGTTAGTACGTTGAAGGGTTAAATCTTGCGTTGTGGCAGAGACGTATGTGTAACCACGAGCAGAGATTCGTTTCAATAGGTTTGCATAGGCCTCTATCCTGGGTCGTCGGAAATTTTATTGAACATCACGGCTGCAGCCTTGTTTTTTACAGGAATTCGGTTTGGCGTAGGCATATACTACAAGCGGCGATATTGAACACATTTTGTGTACTTGGTCGTACTTTAGAGTTGTTCGCACGCGCTGAGGGTGATCACGAGCCGCCAGGTGATCCTGACGAGCAAGATCATGATGAGCTAAGGAAATCACCAAATGCAAGATGTGAAGGATTATGGCACCACCGTGCGACATTTTCCGCTCGTCACAGATAGGTGGCCGGAAGCACAGATGGGATGCTGCTGGTGAAAGCCGGTACTGACCTCGACACGGCCATACCGCCGCGATCGAAATACACTTGGTAAGTGTGATTTTGAGCAGTGTGAGAATCCTGGAGGAGGCGACATCGACGCCGCCAGAGGGAGCTACTTCGGGACCACTGGTGAAATCGTTGTTGATCAAGTGGTATCCATTGCGACAGACCCATTTTCGGCGGTGAAAACCGGGCATCTGGAAGGTGGCATACAACAACAACTGCCACATAGAAATTACGATCTCTCCTGCCTGCCCGCCGGCACCCGCATGTTTGTGGGCGCCATGGTCGTACCATACAACTACATTCCAGTCCCCGGGCATCAGTATTGGTACAACAGCGCGTGAAACCGTTCCGCGGGCCCAACCAAGAAGACACAGGACAGCAGCACAGCGCTCCCTGTTACACTGAACATTGTCGTCCCTTTGTGGAAAAAATCCTCCCAGTCCAAATACGGAACACCCTAGAAGATGCAAAAAAAGAAAAGACTTTTTAACATCGGCGGGACGATCCAGCCGATGGCCGCCTCTACTCCTTCGACGGATTAGCTGTGCAAAACTTGCGCCCGCTGGATACCCGAGAACTCCAACAATAATCGGCATAAATTCCTCGCGGGGCAGACGGCAGGGGGTGTGCCGACACCGCGATCTCGTGCCCCCTAGCCAATGTGTGTGTGCGTTTTCGTCCTATTTATTATGGCGAAAGCAGTCTCCCCATTCTCCCTTTTTCGTGGTGAGACGTGTACCACACTTTTCAGCGTATGTAGAGTAGTAGAGTAGCGGCGGCTCAGCGACCATGGGTAGGGCAACCCGGGAACGAGTTATATTTATTTCGCGCAAAGAAAAAAATACGAAGAGGCGTATTCGAATGACGCGTCCTTTCATTGTCTTAAAGTTTGACAGAAGGAATCCATGTGTGGTTATTTCAGTGCCCGAGGTTGCGGGTTCAATCCCCATCAGCGCCAAACTTTGTTTGCACCTTCCTTTTTTTCCCGATTTTTCTTCACGATGGGAGGGACATCACCACCTATTGACGGTAAATTAGCGAGTAAATCACCGTTTACGCGAAGGAAACTGTAGTTTGTTGCTGTACACGCCTGCAAAATTGCAGTCTGCGCGAAACATGGCAGCTTTTATCTGTCTCGCGTGTGCAGCTTCAGAACACCAACATGTGTTATTTTCTACAGGAAAAGAGTATTCTTCGTGCTCGCCATCAGAACGTGACGTCTTCATCAAACTATTAGTCACAAACTCTCGCCCACTTGCCGTGTCGTGCTTCGAACCAAAGATACAGAGAAAAAAAAACGGTATCAACANTACAGAATAACCGGTTCCTCCCTGCATCGTATTGCTGGGCGGTTTTATACAACAAGAACACCAGGAACCCCATGCCCGTTTTACGTATATACAA